GCATGTGCACACACACAATAAATAAACGTAGTAAAATTACGAATGGAAAAAAAAATTGAGACAGATTCTGTGTTGTCAAGGCTGGGCTTCGACTCCAGGGTCAAGGGGACTGCCTGTGTCAGCCTCCTTAGTAGCTGTGACGACAGACACATGCCACTGTACCTAGATTTTAAAACAAAACAAAATATACATGTATGTATCTATATACATGTCTATATCAAAGTATTTGAGGTACCCACAATTCAATTCTCAGAAGATGGAGCTGGAGCTTTCGATTTTAAATTTTGTGTGTACTTTAGCTTGCCTGATGAAGTCATGGTGACCACAGCTGGAATCCAACGTTGATTGTAAATGGGACAATAGAACAGACCCTGTGACACCCAAGAGGATCCATGACTGCTCTGGGGCTGGCCTCGGGTTAAGCAGATTTCCTCCTTTTGTTTCTGTGGTTTCATTTTTCCTGGGGGAGGTCAAACACCCTTTGGCATCTCTTGAGTTTTCCAAAACTTCTTTTGCACACTTAGCTAGGCCCTCCCATATTGCCTTCTCTCCCCAGTTCTGAGGACCCTCGTAGGGAGGCTTCCATCCCCATGTTTTCCATGTTGATTCTCAGGTGGAGTCATTCTCTTGTGTCTAAAGCATATTCGGGCTTATTTCCTTTTTAGTGGAGTAGTTTTAGGTCAAGGGAGCTCTAGCGAGCTGTCACTGAGCAGGATGTTAGTTAGAGTCAAGGATTTAATCTGAAAAAGTTCCCTGGTTCTCATGGTTTGTTCTCGGGAGGGATCTTGGCTTTCACCCTGTTTCTTTCCCATGGAATGGTTTTTTGCTGATAGCACTCCGGCTCGGTGCCTTTACCTGCTGAGCCCTCTCACTGGCCCCACCTGGTGCTACCTGGAATGATGAGGTCTTGAAGGAAATAACCTCAGGGCTTTCACAGTTTGATTTGGAGCACCCATTAGACACCTGCAGGGTCTTAATTATCTGTACTTATTTATTGTATGTCCCTTTGAGACAGGTCTCTTACATTTAGTAAAGGCTGGCCTTGAACACCTTGATCCTTCTGCCTTTACTTCCCAAGTGCTGGGGTTACAGGTGTGCGCCACCACCCTTGGCTCCGTCACCATCTCATTTCCTCCTTACAGTAAATCTCTGAGTCCCCAAAGATGAATAAGGATCCTTAAAATTCACTAAGATTTGTTGTTCACTGAGGGCCAGGCTATCACTTTGCCTGGGTCATTTTATTTAACCATCGCTCTGATCCTTTGGGGAAGTCTGAGCATTCTCTTCATTTTTTAGAAGAGGGCACAGGGAAGGAACCATAAACAAATTGGTCATAATACATAAGCACTAGTACACACATCAAGGCTTTAAGGGGGGGGAGGGGAAACACACGACACGTGAGAACTATTTATCGAGAAATAGAATTGATTGTGAAGACCTCACTTGGGCCAGTTCTGTTTGTTATTGTTTTGTTTTAGGCAGAGGCTTGGCCTGTAGCTTAGGCTGGCCTTGAACTCATGACCTTCCTATAGTAGTCTCCCAAGTGTTGGCATTGCAGGCATGTACTACCATGTCCACCTCCAGCCGTTATTTCAAAGCACATCTAGATCATGATGATGCCTAGGGCAAATGCAACGAGTGTGTTCCTCTGCATGGACACAGGTCAGCAGAGGAGACCTTCCCATTGCTGTGCTTGATCCAAAGAGGAGACAGTCAGCAGGTGTCACACCACAGCCCAGGAGAATCTTCTCAGGTTAAAGTGCTAACTGTGCCCTGTTCAAAGGAAACAGCCTCTGCCTGGGAGGAGCCCCTGCCTGGGAGGAGTTCCTGTCTGGGAGGAGCCCCTGTCTGGGAGGAGCCTCTGCCTGGGAGAAGCCTCTGTCTGGGAGAAGCCTTTGCCTGGGAGGAGCCTCTGCCTAGGAGGAGCCCCTATCTGGGAGGAGCCTCTGCCTGGGAGGAGCCTCTGCCTAGGAGGAGCCCCTGTCTGGGAGGAGCCCCTGCCTGGAAGGATCCTGCAGTTAGTGAACTCCTTGGAGGATCCGGCCTCCGCTGATTTTTGTGTGATGGTGGGCAGAGAGTGAGAATTGGGATAGTGAGTTTATCCCAGAGGAGTGGCCACACTGTTTCCCTCTGGATCCCTGGAGATGAGTGGAGGACTTGGTGCGAAGAAACAACTTAGAAAAGGTGCCCGTCTAAATAAAGGTCTGAGAGTCTCTTCCCATTAAGAAGGAACATGGTTATCCCAGAGCCAAATGCTGTGATATTCTGCGGTGGGACTCTTTACATTCACATGGCTTAAAGACAGAATTAATACTGAGAGCAGAAGGAAGACGTGTCTTAAGCCAAAGGAAGGCAAATACACATGGGACTCAGGAAAGCATTCTGTGTAATTTAGGCAAGTAGAGAGCTTTCCTGTTTGCCTTTTAAAAAGGACTTCCCTCGGAGAGCCCAAAGGGTCCCAGGAATTAGAACAATTTAGAGAGCCTGTGGTACATTTTTTCCAAGTTGAAGAGTATGATAATGTATTTGTTTAACTCACAGCAGGTCATGGCCTGTGGCTGTCAGGGGGAACATTTTTGTGTGTTTTACTTTGAGACTCAAATGTTGAACAAAAATAGTAAAGTGATTCTTAAAAATCGTAATTCACACGGCCACTTGAGTATTGAGACCTGGCTGGTTTCCCTGCAAAAACGAGGTTAAGGGGACTGGGAAATGAGTCAGAATCCCGTGGCCATTCTTTCCTTTGGTTTTTCGAGACAGGGTTTCTCTGTGTAGTTTTGGTGCCTGTCCTGGATCTCGCTCTGTAGACCAGGCTACTGGACTCGAACTCACAGAGATCTGCCTGGCTTTGCCTCCCGAGTGCTGAGATTAAAGGCGTGCACTACCACCACCGCCTGGCACAATTTTTTCTTTCTTCTTTTTTTTTTTTTAGAGGTGATTTGTTACATACTTTATTAGTTACTTTTCTGGTGGCTACAGTGAGCTACTCTGACCACAGCAACTTGAGGAGAGGTTCACTTGGGATCATGGTCTGAGGAGACAAGACATCATGATGGGGGAGTCAAAGCTTGAAGCAGTAGGTCACCCTGTGTCCCAGGTCAGGAGGAAGACAGGGATGAATGCTTGTACATGGCTGTCCCCTTTGTGGGGAGTCCTGGGACCCCAGCCCATGGACATTCAGGATGGATCTTTCTCCTTTGATTACCTTAATCTTGATAATATTTCACAGATGTGCCCAAAGGAGAACTTAATCTAGGTAATCCCTCAGACATGCTGAGGAGATAATGTGATCTATAGGCATTATAATGCATTATAGGCAACAGGCTTGCATCCTAGGTGAGCCTAGGCCCTGTCAAGCAGACAATCAATGTGAACCACACGTAGCAATAGAGAACTAGAAATTTACCACCTAATTCATCCTGTTTTGTGAAAAAGTTAGTTTATTTTCAGGTTAGTTCACTATTAATCATTCTGTATTCAACATATTTGTACATAATCTGTACAGATATCTAATAATTTCTTTGGTATAAATTTCATTAAACAGAATTATGATGGTTACAGGTCTAAACAAGTATTTTAAGATTCTGAGTAAGTATTGCCAAATGTCATTGACGAAGTACAATCCACTCATACAAGCGAAGTAAAGGGTGTGTCTATAGTCACAACTCTCCATCATGGATAATTAGTATTTTAAAAATTAGTAAGCAAGATACTCCCAAAATATTACAAGCTATTGGTGTTGCCCTTGGTTGCCTTCAAGAGGTGAAGCTATGGCCATTTTTTCATGTATATCTCGGTGGTGTGTGTTTGTGTTATGTGTTCAAATGTGTGTGGATGCATGGGTGTGTGCAGGCACATGGGTGTGGAGCTTAGAGGTTGATGTTAAGTGTCTGCCTTGATCACTCTCCACCTTATAAACTGAGGCATAGTCTCTCAAAATACCTAGAGCTTATCAATTGGGCTGGTCAAGCCGGCCAGCTTGCTCTGGTATTCCTGTTTCTGAGCACTGGGATTACAGTGGACTGTCATGGCCACACAGCATTTACTTGAGTGCTGGGAATCTGAGCCCCAATTATCACACATGTGAGATGAACACAGTACTCGATGAGTCATCTGCCCAGCCCTATTATGGCCATCTTTGTGAGGTCATTTTGTTGAAATTTTATCAGAATTTTTTTTTTTTTTTTTTTTTTGGTTTTTCGAGACAGGGTTTCTCTGTGTAGCTTTGCACCTTTCCTGGAACTCACTTGGTAGTCCAGGCTGGCCTCGAACTCACAGAGATCCGCCTGGCTCTGCCTCCCGAGTGCTGGGATTAAAGGCGTGCGCCACCACCGCCCGGCAGAATTTTTGACTGGTTAGGTTTTTTTTTTTTTTTTTTTTTTTTTTTTTTTTTTTTTTTTTTTTTTTTTTTTTGTCAACTTGACGTAAACTAGAGGCATCTGGGAAGAGGGAACCTCAATTGAAAAAACGTCTCCATCAGATTGGCCTTTTGGTGAGTCTGTGGGACATTTTCTTAATTGATGGGGGAGGGTACAGCACACTATGGGCAGTGCCAATTCCGGGCTGGTAGTCCCGGGTTGTATAAGAAAGCAGGCTGAGCAAGCCATGTAGAGCAAGCCAGTCACCAGCACTCCTCCATCCTCTCTGGATCAGTTCCTGCCTCCAGGTTCCTGCCCTGACTTCCCTCAGTGATGGACTGTAAGCTGAAAGATGAAATAACCCCTCCTCCCAAGTTGCTTTTGGTCCTGGTGTTTATCACAGCCAAGAGAGCAAACAAAGACAGTTTTCCTTCAGTGTATCTCGGAACACTTAAATACTCCAATTAGCTAGGTGTAGTGGTGCACAAGTTTGACCCCAACATTCAGAAGGCAGAGGCTGCCTGATCTCCGTGAATTGGAGGCCAGTCTGGTCCACACAGTGAGATTCTGTTTAAATAGATAAAAAAATAAATACTTCAAGAACACGTGTGAAATGCTTGCATCACTTTATTGGAACCACATAATAATTGAATGTTTCAAACTCATTTGATAAGAAATATCATAATAAATAGAACATAAATAAATATAAATAAGGTCATATACTTTCATGAATATAAAATATAACAATAAATACTTTTAAATAAGTGGTGATGAGTGTTTTCAGAAACACTTTACAAAAAGAATAGCTTATCAGTTCTTGCTCTACTGCTGACACATTTGGGAAGGGCATTTTCTCTCCTTGGGAGGATTTTCATGAAAACTTACAATGTGCATAGTAAATACAAGAGATGTGACTGAGGGGACCATGCTGAGGTAGCTGTGCCACCTTTGATAGGGCTGCGAGAATGTGACAGGAGCTTCAGTTCAACCAGGCCAAGACTTCCTGGTTCTCAACCCACCTCTTACTAAAATTTCAGTGGTTCATACTTTTGTAGAAAGGGCACTAAGGGGGAGGGACTTGAGCTTTTCAGGAGGCATTCAGATAGCTCATCACTCTGTTGATAGTCACAGCACGGATGCTGAAAGCATGAAGAAGGATGCAGAGCTTAATTTTCACTTTGTAAGGATCTGCTTCTTCCAGGGAAGGTTTCTGGGGGGGAATCTCACCATTGAGATTCAGAGCCTAAAAAGAAATGACAAGCATAACATCTATACAATTTCAAAATGAAAACATTTGTCTGCAAAAATGGGTGAAGTCAATTCACAGTCCAGCACTTGCAACCTACTCCCTCATACACTCTTTGACCCATCCCACAGCTACCCCGGGTGCATTGTTCCTGCGGGAACAGAGGGGAGAAATGTTCTTTTGCAAGCACACCTATGCCTTTAATGAAAAGACCCCTAAATGGCTCAGAAGAGTCCTCATTAGGGCCTGTCTTACAGAAGGTAAGAGTCTCTGAGCTGACATCTGCCGCTGTAGCTAGTTAATTTGTATAGGTTATGTTAAGACGCCCAGTCCTTTGACAAGAGGGAGCTGAGGTGGTCTATTGATTAGAACTCTCTATCAGTAACAGACCTGTTTGTGATAGAGACGCTATTTGTGTTAGATAAAAAAAACCCAGCAGCATGTTTCCCATTCATTCCTTTGGATTTGGTAGAACACTATGCCACTGAGCTACATTCCCAGCCCCCTTTTGATTTGGTGACATAGAATAAGAACTTAGGTTTATATGAAGCTTGATAGTCTTGCTTGCTCCTCACAAAATCCCAAGGGAGAGGTAGAGTGTGTAAAGTCATCCCATTTTACAAACAGGCAAACAGGAATTAACTCAGTCAGCACAGTTGTCTAGATCCTGGTAGACCTTTCTAGTTCCCAAATCATCTTACTTCTGGTCTTGCATATGCAGTATCAATCACAGTTCTCTGTATGGGAGATTGGTTGACACCTGTACAAATGTCGCTGTCTTTCAAACAAGTAATCTGGCAATGTATAATGTACTGGCTAGTTTATGTTAACTTGACACACGCTAAGGTCATTTTGGAAGAGGAGAACATCAATTGGGAAAAAACACCTCCACCAGATTGGCCTGTGGGCAAACCTGTGGTTATTTTCTTGATTGATGATTGATGTGGGAGGGCCCAGCTCACCCCAGGCTGGTGGTCCTCAGTGCTATAAGAAGGCAAGCTGAGCAAGCCGGTACCCAGTGTTCCTTTACAGCCTCAGCATTGGTTCCTGCCTTGATTTCCCTGGATGATGAACTCACTACAAGCTATAAGATAAAATAAATAAACCCTTTCCTCTCCAACTTGCTTTTGGTCATGATGCTTTATCAAAGAGTAGAAACCATGACCAAGACAGTATATAAGAAATGAAAAAGAAATCAGCTGATTTTCAGACAGTGACTTCTGAACATATCTTCATCCCATGCCCTGGTTACCATGGCACTCGCCTCTCTAATGTGCATATTTCTGTGTTTTGTGCTACCATCATACAGCAGGCTCCCACAAAGGAGTAACACTGTGGATTTCCCTAGATGATAGACAACTTTTCATTTTATTCACATTTTGGTTCAATATTATAACTGGGCACCAGCCCCTCTTGTTTTTCCTAATAATATTTGGATATATGTGCAGCCCTTTGAGTGTCCATTCTGTATTTTTTAAAAAAGAACATGTGTACATGTGTATGTTTGTGTGTTATATGCACATACATTCATGTGCACACACAACAGATATATGATCTGTGCCTACAACATACAGAAGCCAGAGAAGGGGGTCCTATGTTACTCTCTATCTTATTCCTTTGAGGCAGGGTCTCTCCCTGAACCTGGAGTTTTCATGGCTAGGCTTGCAGCAAGAACACCTCAGTGATCCTCCTGTGTCCACTCTTTGAGGTGATAGCCTGGTTCAAGACCACATCTGGTTTGTTGCCTATTTGCCCCTGGTCAAACTCAGGTCCTCATGCTTGCACATCTAGTGCTCTTAGTCACTAGACTGTCTCTGCATCCTAATCTTGGATCCTTAAGAGAAGAAATTATTTAAAGCCTCTTGCAGGCTGTATGATCTCAGACGAGCGTCAGTGTCCTCCTTTGTACAGACCTTATTTGCTTGTCGTGGGGATGGTGTGAGAAAAACGATTTGCAAAGAGCCCGGTGCATAGCACAAGGTCAACAGGTAGAAGGCTGCTTGTGTTTGCCCTTACTGTAGAGGGTTCCCTCAAGGCTGTCTTAGCAGAGGTAACCTTGCAAGGCTTTTCAAGGGGGGGTGGGGGTCTCTTTAGATCACGCCTGCAAAAGCTAATTTTATTGTATCTTGTCAAGGACCTATCTTCACCATGAAAGAGAGCCAGCACTGATAGGGGGATGCCTTACCTGCATCAGCTCATCAATGGCTGCCAGCATGTTCTCATCCAGAATGACCTGCTTCTGATTTTGATCCAAAAGCTCTGCATTGATGGCCTTGAACTCTGTCCCGTACATCTTCAAGTCCTCATAGATGCTACTAAGGCACAGGGTCTAGGTGAAGGGACAAAATGGGAAAGAAACCATTGAAATGAGAAATGCATTTCCTCAAACGCATCCTGCTGCTGCATTTGAGGGAAGTGGTGTGTCTTACCATCATCAAAGAAGTCTTTTCGGGGGGCAGGCAGCTCCCTCTCTAGAGGAAAGAATAAGCCGGCATTAATATGATGAATCAGTCATGGGGAAGGAAACTTTGGTTTGCTTACTTACTGTTATGGAAGAAGTCTCTCCAGAAGCCAGACAACTCTCGTTCTAGAGGAAAAAAATAAACCAAGGATATTAATTCTTAGTATAAATCTCTCTGATATTTTATCTCAGACTAACTTTCCGTTGCAGTAAGAAGCATCATGAAATTCACCATCATAACGACTTCTGTGTGCCTGTGTATAGGAATTCATGTGTGCACGAGTGTGTGCAGGTGGAAGCCAGAGGACCACCTTTGGCATCTTTCCCAGTCACCTCTCCACCTTATTTTTTCTGATACAGGGTCTCTCACTGAACCACAACTCACTGACTCAGCTAGACTAGCTGGCCCATGAGTCCCGGGCATCCTCCTGTCTACCTACTCTGGCACTGAGGCTACATGTGAAGCCATCACACCCAGCTTTTCCGTGGTGCTGGGGATTTGAACTCAGATCCTCATGCTTGTATAGTAAGCTCTTTACAGCAGCTTCACCAGCCTCATTTTTTTTTTTCTTTTAAAGACAAGCTTTCACTATGTAGCCCTGGCTGGCCTGGAACTCACTATATAGACCAGACTGGCCTCTAACTTAACAGAGATTAGCTGCTTCTACCCATCAAGTGCTGGAGTTAAAGGTATATACCACCACACCCATCTCATAGTTATTGAGCATATCCTTCAGCTTATTGAAGTATTCATATTGTTATGACTTTTTTTCCCCAAAAATCTTGATAGCTACATGTAAGTGTTTGGAGACAGCTTAGGTTTGGTGCACAATTCTGATTTGTGTTGTGTGATTTCTGGGGGGAAGACCTCTGTACCTTGGCTAGTTCCAGTGGTAAACAGGCCTTCAGTGTGCTGGTTTTCTCTCCGGTGATGTCTTCATAATCAATGTCTTCAGGAGTGCAGGGATAATGTCTCAAAGTTTGTCTGGCCTGTAAAAACCACAGAGAGAAGCTGAGGTGTTACTCTCTACAGGATAGCTGAGGCTGGCACCCCAGGGTATGAGCTGGACCAGAGCTGGTCACCCTAAGCCTTCAATTCTTTGACCTGTAGAAAATTCAGACTCTTCATAAGATGAGAGGAAACAGGCCACCTACACTCTCCCTCCCCTTCCCTCCCCTCCCCTCCCCTCCCTCCCCCTTTGCCTAGGCTGTTTGTCAGCAGGATATTTTTAACACCAAGGGAACTCTGCAGCAGCCTGTGTTAACCAGCATCAGCACCACACTGTGATGCTTGCTTCCGGTGAGTCCTGTTGTTTTCCTTTTGCCAAGCAGCTGTGCTGCATGAATATATAACTTCTAAAGGGGACCTGTTAAAGTCCAAGCTTGATGGCTGTAACAAACTCTCAAGCCTTAAAGACTAGTTGAGCTTTAATTTACAGCGCACAGGGACTGTCTCATACCCCCGGTGTGCTGGAAAACATCGATGAACAGAATTACACAACGTATTAAGAAGTCAACAGCTTTCTGACTGAAGGTTGAGATCATTTCCCCCCTCAACTATGGTACTAGGGATGTGACAAAGAAGGGCCGTGATGTGCTCTACTGGGTTCCAAGTTCAACCAGGTAGCAATAGTAACCCAAACTAAGACAGGACTGAATTCTGCAATGTCTTGATCTGCAGCACAGTTGTTTGGGAGTAGGAGAGTGGGTTTTTTCACGGAGCATCTAGTTAACTTTGAACTCCTCCAATGCCTCCATCTCAAACCTCACCTTAGGAAAAAAAGTCACTCATCTCTGCAGGCGTTCCTTCCGGGGCCATTTTTCCTTAAATTTCATGTGTACAAGTATTCTGCCTGCGTGTATATCTGTGTACCACCATGTGGCCACAGTGCTCGTGGAGACCAGAAAAATGACACATTTCCTAGGCCTAGAGTTACAGATGGTTGTGAGCCACCATGGTAGGTAATGCTGGGTATCGAACTCAGGTCCTCTGGAAGAGCAGCCAGCACCCTTAACCACTGAGCCATCTCTTCCGCCTGGGAGCTCCCAGTTAATTAAGATTATTTGAGTGTTGAGGGACAATTGGAAGCACATTATGAAAGATTTGAAGGAATTCTCCAAAAAGGTCTTGTGGAATGGAACATATCTTGGGATATTCCTAAGGTAATAAGCTAGAAGGTCCTTAAGAAAGATTAAAAAACACAGCAGAAAGAAGGCAGGAGTCTCCCTCCCTCCATCTCTTCCTCCCTCTCTCCCTTCCTCTCTCCTTCTCTCCCTCCCTTTGCCTCTCCTCCTCTGTTCCTATGTGCTTGTAAGTGAATGCCCTGTTGGGGTTGGAACACGGATCCTCATTCATAATTAAGTAAGAACTCTACCACGGAGTCACAGCCCTAGCAGCTCCAGGACATCTGGAACACATTATCGCCTGCTTTAGCTTTGTAGCAAAAGTGAGAGAAAACTGTGGCAATGTTACAGCAGAAAAGAATATTTTTGCATTCAAATATGAAACCCGAGAAAAACAAATGGAGCTAGAAATCAAACTGGATCACACTTGCCCCAGAAAAGTGAAGGCTGGACACGACCCCTTCCTGAGACGTGTCCATCCAACAAAGAACTGCGTCCCTGTATTGGACATTGGCGAGCAGAGGGAGAGACGATCTAATTCATCTTTACAGCTTGTGAAGCACAGAGATCGCACCTAGTGACTGTCTCCCTGTTCAACCTCCAGTGAAGCAAAACCTGGGAGCTCCTGACACAATGCCATACCCGCAGGCAGGCTGGGAGGGGCACAGTGAGTAGTCACTTTCCTCTGTGTAGACACAGCCCGAACTGATGCCGTTATAATTTATTACCATCCTTTCTTTCTCTGGAGACACAGTTTCCTCTAGATAACATCTGCGAGGTTGGTAACGTTTCCTCAACGGCTCCTACCAGCTACCCATGTACTGCGGGTTCCCAGCAGACACCAGATGGCTTAGAAGTCCTTTCAACAGAGGAACTTTGAAGCCAGAAGGACACAAGAAACTCACCTTCTCCAGCATGTGCTTGGTGGTCTTCAGCAGGTTTCTGGAGTGGTCAAGACACTGGGCAGGTCTGGAGACTGGTGTGGCCCTGGCCAAACTGAGGTGGATTAGGAGGACAAGGATGGCCCAAAAGAGGAGGCCTGAAAGGGAAATGGAGGAGGGGGGCGTAAGTCGATCTTGTCAGTCTGGTTTGGCCTGCCTCTCTCTTCAGCCATTCTGGCCATCTTAGCCATTCATGACCTCCCTCCATCCATGTTTCAGCCCTTTCCTCGGGGCTGACAGATGGAGCAAGTCTCCTCAAATCTTGTTAGAGATCTGTGTTCTCCACTCTCGCTCCAAGGCTGTGCCTTAGTTTTCTTCCGTGAGATGGGCGTAATGGGCCCAGGCTGTTCTATACTGAAGAGACCATGCAGGTGCAGCGGAGATCTAGCAAACCCTCCTTCCAATTGCCGACTGCCCTTTAGTCTCCCTTAGCGGGTCCAGGGCCTCTGTCTGCTCTTTCCCAGGCTGCCTTCCCTGATCCTGTCACCCTGGTCCCCAGCCCTGGGCTACTTACAGCGTGATGGACACATGTTGGGCCGGCTCTGAGCAGGGACAGCTGGACGCTGGAGGTGAGGTGGTTGGAAAACTGACTCTGGGGGACACATTTTTATAATTGTCTAGAGACCCAGCAGGACTTTCCCAGGACGGTGTCTCTTGCTTTCTCTCTCTGTCTCTACAAGAGCTTCTCAAGGACACGTGCGTCGATCGTCCCGAGGGGGAGGGGGTCGGGCGGGGGGGGGGGGCGGATGGCGCTTTCGAATTAACTCTCGGAGTGCCCGTCTGCGAGGTTCCGGGACCGGCCCGCCGACACCGCACTCAGAGCGAAAGCGAAATCGGCCCACGAGTCGCAGCTTTTGTTCTGGGGCAGGCAGGTCTGTCCCTCCCCACTACCCCCCACTAGCCTAGATGCCCTTCCACAGCATGCTGCCCAGCGCCTCTTCCGAAGAAGCAAGTGCCACCCACTTGTCATCTCCGCTGTGGACACTGAGTCTGACTCAATTTGCTTTGCGAATGTGTCCTGCCTTAAACAATAAAAGGGACAAAACCGGTGTGACTCAGTTCTGGCAGTTCTGGTTTAGTGCAATGGCTGGGAGAAAAGGCGGAAAGAGAGCAAGCCCATCGCTCTGCAGGAGCCCAGGAGGCAGCAAACGCTTCTGCAGTCTCTCGGGCTCTGCAAGGAGGCATTTCATGGTTGCCTGTGGGATGGATTCTGAGCTGGTTCAGGAGAGTTAACACAGTAGGGAGGTAGAGGGGGGAGATGGGGACAGTGAGTGCTCCAAGTTGTGATCCGGTGGCGATATATCAGGCCATTGCCGAGGCTGGGAATGACATCCTTAACCTTTCTGGAGTTTCCGAGAGATATCCTTGGATTTGCATGATGGGAAGATCCCTTCAGCAGCAATGTAGGACCTGGATGCCAAGGGTCCAACTCAGATCCAAGGGAGTAGATGGTAGGATAGGACCACACCATGGCCCCATTCAAGATGGAGAACAAAGATGAGCAGAAGAGATTCTCTGAGGGGCAAGCGGCTAAAGCTTGATAACACCCGAGGCTGAATGGGAGCTGTCCCAGTTCCTACAGCAGGGGTGTGAGAGTTTGGAGCTGGCAATGACAAGTTGTGTTTTGGAGGTTTGGGGTAGGAGGTTCCCTTGGGACTTCACTCATTTCTACCCCAAGTCATTCTCACTGGGTGTGCAGAGAGGAAGGCCCTCTTAGTCACCGACTTGGAGCCAGCCATGTGTCTGGCTGCTCCCAGACCCCTACAGCGGGAGCTGTGAGAGTCCACCTCCTGTAGAGGCAACCGTCTCAGTAAGCAGCCATTGGGAGTGCAGCAGGGCAGGGTGGGTGCTTCTTCTCTCGGGTCCACTGAAACCAGAGGAGGTCAACATGAGCTGTCATGTCGTGAGTACTCAGCAGCGTGGGCCTGCTGCAAAGGGGTAACAAGGCCAGTAAGAACAAAGCTATAGCAGCTCTGATCTGTAAGGTCCCTGCGGCTGTGAACTGGGGACAAGAGACAATCAATGGTCAGAAAAAAAGATGGTGTCGTAACAGTTTATGTGAAGCTGTACTTGTGTCTAGAAGGTTCAGATTAAGTAAATGACACTTAACATTGGAATGAGTCAAGTTCATCACAACAGAGCTGTTCCTTTCCTAGAAGGCACACTTCTTATGACAGAGTAATTCCTGCTACTCAGACCAGCCCAGAGCCTCTGTTCAGTGTGGTGGGTCCTTGGCCACCAGAAAGAGTTCCTGACCCGTGCTTTTTAAATACAACTTTCAAAAAACTCTTGTAGAATTCATACATGCATACAATGTATTTTGATCATATTCATCCCCCACACCTTCCCTTATCTCCCGGATCCACTCCCTACCTTCCACTCTTTTCTAGTTATCATGTCCTAACTTATTTTTAAAAAATAACTCACTGCATTCAATGTTTGAAAACACAAGTGTGTGGCCATTCATGGACACATTGTCAACTAAGCAGAGGCCATGCCCTTTAAAAACAAAAACAAAACAAAACAAAACACCTGAATCTCCCTCCTGAAGAAGTCATCAACTCAGCTAGGGGTTGGGAATTCTAAGTCCCTGCCTGGTCTTTGTTGGAATGTTGACCAGGGTGACCCTGTAAAGGCCTTGTGCAGGCAACCACAGCTTCCACGAGTTCCTATGCGCAGGAGTCCTATGGTGTCCAGAAGACACTGTTCATCTAAAGTTTTCCCTAACATTTGCCCTTCACAATTTTCTACTCTCTCTTCCTCAATGATCCCTAAGGTTTGTGGTGAAGGCTGTGATCCAATATCCCATTCGTGGGTGAGCACTCCACGGGTGCTTATTATCTGCATACTTTGGTCAAACTTTTTCTGGTGTTTTTATTTTCTTCTGTAATATTACTTTCATATATATGTGTATATATGTATATGTATACATATTGCCCATTAGTGATAATCCATAGTATTTAGCACTGTATAGGAGATGTAGGCCAATGCTGTAAGGGAAGAAAGACAAATGGAAGATTTTAATGCTGGAAATGAGAAGACAAGACTATCATTTTAACATAATTTGGTATAAGCTGAGCTGGCGGTACAGGCCTGTAATTCCAGCCACTTGTGAGGCTGAGACACAAAGTTCAAGACCTGCCTGGCTACAGAGAGGCAGGTCACCCCGAATAATTAAATGGGAGCTTGTCTCAAAACTAGAACCTTTTTTTTTAAAGAGGGCTGGCACTGTATCTCAGTGGAAGAGCGTTTGCTTAGTACAGGCGACTGTGTGCAGTGCTGAGGACTGCCGTCCGTTCTTGAGTAAGTCACCATTTTTAACTGTTCAGAGGATTCTTTGTGATAGCCATCGTTTCTGTTTTGAGTCAGTTTATTAAGTTCATAGCAAGCAAGAATAAAAGAATAAATAGTAAGTGGCAGGAGAGACAGGAAGGAGATAGGAATACAATGTCAACTCAGGAATTTATAACATCCGGCAGAGATGGCTGGAGTTGCCTGATTGAGAGAGGGGCTGAAATCAAGGCCTTACAAACAGGCAGTAGAAATTGATCGGGGAAGTTGAGGCACTCAGCCGGAGTCCCAGGTTTCACTTTTTCTGTGAATATATAGCTTGATTAAATCAGTCTTGGAAAGTTCTTAGCTATTAATTAACTCTTCAAATAACGCCTGTTGTTTTCAACTTGATCTCATTTTAGGTTTCGATCTAGAACATCCTAGGATTCCAATCAGGCATATAACTAACCAACCTTTTGAAATGTTCTGAATGTTTTATGATGAGTTTTGGAATTTCCTCCTCCTTTCCAGGAACTGGGGTCTGGGTGTTTCTGTCCTCATATTTCCTCCCAGTTCAGTCTTCTAAGTCACAAATACTCCTTCACTTATGTTTCAACAATTGTCAAATTCATTTATTGAAGGGTAATTTCAGCTACTGTCTTTTTTTTTGGTATTAGAATTTCTACTTGGTTTTGAAAATTACATAGATTTCAGTTCCTTGTCATCCATTTTCTTTAGAAAATGTAGACAGTTATATTCTGAATCTGACCATTCCAATGTCTGGATTACTTGTGTATGACCCTGATATACATTTCTTCCCTTGACCCTGTCTCTCCATGGCTGGTAACTTTTTACTGGATAGTGATGGTAGACATGAAAAACTGTGGGTGGCCGGTGGTGTTAGCAGTCACACTAAGAACAGAAGCCCTTGAATCCATCAGGGATCAACCTGCCTGGAGTCTTCCTCTCTAAAAGCTACTCTTTATGTCTAGAGTGCTCCATGAGTTCCTACTGAAGGCAGGCGGTGCTGCCCAAGGTAGCTGGGGGGGGGGGGGGGGGGGGGGCGCTCTGAACTCAGTGCCTGTCAGCTTGTCTCCACAGGGCCGTGATTACCTTTTCTCAGGTTCTTAGCCACCCTCTTCTGTCTGTCTAATGCTTGCCCTGCTCTGTTACCACTGGGAAAACACAGGATCAAAGAGCAGCTCTTTCTTTCTAGGGGAATCTCCTCTTTACACTCTTCCTTCAGGATCCTGCTGTCTCACAACCTGATTAACTTGGTGACTTGAATTTCAACTTTTTGTCTTCACTGAGCACCTGACTGACTCTCTTTCCTGCTCACAGCCATTTTCTGCTCAGCTTCTCAGTTTTCCACTCACACCCCATTGTGCCTACGAATCGGCAAATACCTTGGGAGAGTGCCAACACACTGGGTTTTTCCAGTGAGTTTTCCATTTCTCAAGGATCTTAGCTTTTGAAGGTCCTGGCTACATAGACAGCTCATCAGTGCATTTGGAATAGAAGAAAAAAAGAAAAAGAAATTGATTCTTCTAGTTGTTCTTGTGGAAGAATAGTTCCCCTACAAGCTGACTGGGGGAGATGGGTAGGGATAGACCCCAGGGCTTTGTAAGCCCTCTACCACTGAGACACTCTCCCTAACCCATGCACATAGAAGTAACTTTGAACGTGGAGTATGCTCAAAGTTCCAAAGTTAAAGCTTCAAATGCCTACGTTCTTTAAAAAAAAAAATTACTATTCCTAATATTCTCAGTACTAGACAGGCTCTGATAGATTGAGATAATAATAACATAAGCCAATATTGTTGTTATTATCCCTGAGATTATTAATTTTGATAGTCTTGCCTGATTGGATTAAGAAAGGCTAGTCTACCTCTGAGTATGTGTGTAGTGATGCTTCAGAGACAATTGGGTCAGGGGAGTTCTGGCTTAATCAATGGATTGATCCCTTGCTGCATGAATACTATGAGGGCATTATTGGGAGGTGGTAAATGCAGAAATCTGACCCAGCCAGAGGAAGTAGAGCATTGTCGGTGGGGGTTGGGAGGGGGTGGAATATTCTTGGGGTTAGGTCTTATCTGGCTCTTGTTTCTGTCTTTTTCTTATTTCTTGTCTGTCAATCACATGCGCCTGTCACTGTGACATTGTGCCTTACACTGGTCCCAGAAACACAGTGTCCCTGACCATGGACTGAACATTCCGCAACCAGCCAAAGGGAATACCTCTCCCCTTAAATCCTGTCTGTCAGACATTTTGGTCACAGTTTTACAAAAATAATGATCCAATTCTCATTTTGACAAGAAGAAACTGAGGCACGGGGAGTATTAGCTGGTGTGAGGGAGTGAGCAGCAGTGCTAAGATTTGAACCCATGTGGTGAAACCTTCCATTTTTACACCTGAAGTTCTGTATGCAGCTAGGTACACGGACATTCATTGTATAGCGTTTGGATTTGCCAGGGAACCCAAGTCTAAGGTTGTGTTTTACCATGTGTCCCTGTGTTGCTCCTGAAAATATGTGTGAAAGTGAAACCTAGTGAGGCTGGAGAGGGGGCTCAGTGGTTAAAAGCTAGCGATGCTCTCGAGGACCTGAGTTCGGGTCCCAACACTTGAACTGAGAAAGGGCAGCTCACAACTGCCTGTAACTCCATCCTCAGGGGATCAAGGCTATCTTCTGGCCTCTGAGGGCACCTTCACCCATGTGCACACATCCTTACACAAA